TGCTGTTGTGACCAGACCTAATCACCAACCTCTAGCCCAGTATCAGGTACACAATTAGTCCTCCACATCTGCTGAGTAAACAGTAAATTGTATTCTCTGAGGCAGTGTGGGGCAGAAGACAAAAGCCTAGCCTGTGAATCAAGAGCCCCGAGCCTTGTCCATGGCTGTGGTCCTGACTTGCTGTGTAAACCTTCACCTGAAACTGCAGAGGTAGAGACAGGTGATCTCTGAAGCTCTTTTCAGCAAAAACCTTCTGAGTCCACGCATGAAAGACAGCAGTAAGCAGCTCTCTATACAAGACATTAAGTCCTGGAAGATACACTCAGAAAGGGTAGAATCAGCAGGGAAAGGGGTCCAGAGACCCCTAGGAAGAAGTGCCATGAGTCGCCCAATAGCTACTTCCCTGCCCAGACCTAACCTGTAGTGAACAATCTCACATTTTTCCACCACATCTAAGATTCTGTGTCTAGACATGGCTGAGGGTCACCTCTTCACTGCACAGGCCATTTGGCTTCCTAGGGCCTCTTTGCCCCTGCAACACTCACACTCACACAACACACAAGTCAACGACCATTTTTGGGCTCTGTTATCTTCCTCCTACCTTAGACGGGACCTCCCAGACCTTTCTCAGCAGGGACCCTCACAAAGTTCCATTTGCCAGCAATCTCAATCTCTACTCAGCTTCAGGGTCTCATCCAGGTCTACCTTTGCCCAGAGTTGAAGAACTGATGTTACCTTAGGCCCTAGGGACCCATTGTTGTTGTTGTTGTTGTTATGTGCCGTCGAGTCGGCCCCGACTCATAGCGACCCCTCCTTGGGTTTCCGAGGCAGTATCACTACGGAAGTAGGATTGCCCAACCTTCCTTCCGAGGAGTGGCTGGTGGGTTTGAACCGCCAGCCTTCTGGTTAGCAGTCAACTGCTTTAGCCACTATCCTACCAGAGCTCCTTAGCAACTGGCAAATTCTGTCTTTTAGAAAGATAGAGCCAGACAGAGTAAGAAGCATTGGTGGCTTGTGGTAGGCTTATAATATGTAAGAATCTTTCTCTGATGGGGTTAATTAAGGGCAGAGTTTAAGTAAAGGTTTCATGGATACCTGACAGTCACAATAGGGGCAAGTGTGGAGCCAGGGCAAAGCCAAAGCTTACAAAGGGAGCAAGGTAAACAAGGCCAGACGAGTTGTAAGCTCAGATCAATACAAAAATAACAAGGGTCTGGGACCCAGGATAAAGCAGAACCAAGCAAGGGGGGAGGGGCAGGTGGTAACAGGTAGCAGAGATCCAGAATTCATTCCCTCTAGCAGCAGAATAGAGCCTGAATCCTTTAGCCTAACATCAAAGCGAGGAGTTCTGCTAGCGTAATGCCTAAGGCACTTGACTGCTAACCAGAAGACTGGCGATCCAAACCCACCAGCCACTCCTCGGAAGGAAGGCTGGGCATTTACTTCCATAGTGATATTGCCTCAGAAATCCAAGGAGAGGTCACTATGAGTCAGGTTTGACTTGACGGCACATAACAAAAATAACATCAAAGCTACTGGTTTTTGCTCTCGCCTCACCTCCCACCAGACTCATCACTTTGCCCCCAAAGACCTTTAAAAAGGAGTCCTGTGGTCACTGGGGCATTTTAAACCTCTTCCCCCCACCCAAAGAAAGGCAAAAGTATTTTTCAAAGAAAAGCTTAAAGCTTTGGCATTCTGTTCTTCTCTCAAACCAGAGGCAGGCTTCACTCTGCTGCTCCTGGAATCACATATAAGCATTCTCCTCCTCAAGATAGAGATATATAATACATATACACATATAAAATACATACATACATACATTATACCTGTATGTGCATTATATATGTATAGGAGCTCTGGTGATGTAATGGTTAAGGCATTTGGCTGCTAATCAAAAGGTCAGTGGTTCGAACCTACCAGCTGCTCCACGGAAGAAAGATGAGGTGGTCTGCTTCCATAAAGATTTACAGCTTTGGAGACTTTCAGTAAGATAGGGGACTACACTATCAGACAAGCTACACAGACCCTCTTCAACAAACAAAAGAGAAAGCAATTGACAGAGATACAGAAGATAATCCTGGAGCCTTGAGCTTTGAAAGGAAGTATGCAGAAGTGGATTAGGCACCAACTAGTGGAAAAACCTGAATGTAAACAGGACCTACAAATAGGCTCCATTTGCCAAGGACAGCAGGGACATACAGGAGGCTGACAAAGGAAAAGAGACAGGTGGTGAGTATATAAGTGCTGCCAACTAGTGAACAGAGGAGCACAGTACCTTGCTTACATAGATAACATCCAAAGAAAACAAAAATCGTGAGCAAGTCACTCCAACATACAATCACCAATTAAATATAAACACAAAAATGTCACAATGCCTCAGAGACTACAGAGCATCACAGTCCATACAAAGCAGCAAGATAAAGCCAGAGAAACAAGGGACCAAGATACAGACTCAGAACACATCCTTGAGGAAGAAGCAGCACTGGAACTCCCTGATAAAGAATTCAAAATAATTATATTTAGGTACCTTCAACCAATTGAGAGATAGATCAAGGAAAACACTGACAAAATTCAGGAAAACAGAGAAAATCCTAGAAAAATTTCAGAAGACAATACAAGAACAAAATAATAAAATAAATGAGAAATTAGAAATGATACAAGATCTACAGATAGAAATCCAGAAGATTAATACTAAATTTTCAGAAATAGCTAACACATTGAACAGGCAAAGGAGTAGAATTGAATCAATGGAAGACAGAATTAGTGAGATTGAAGGCAGATACCTCAATACTTCTTTGGAAAGGGGTCAATCAGAAAAAAGATCAATACAAAATTAAGAAAGTCTAAGGATCATGTGGGACACCATCAAAAGGAATAACCTATGTGTAATCAGAATTCCAGAACAGGAAGACACAAATAAAACCACAGAGAAAGGTGTCAAAGATTTGTTAAAAGATAATTTCCCTGGTATGATGAAAGATGAGAATATATCCATTCACGAAGTCCAACGAACCCCAAAGAGGATAGACCCCCAAAAGAAAATCACCAAGACGTGTCATCATCAAACTCACCAAAATCAAAGACAAAAAAAGAATACTAAAAGCAGCACAGGAAAAACAAAAAGTTAGCTACAAGGGGCAACCAGTAAGACTAAGCTCAGATTTCTCGGCAGAAACCACACAAGCAAGAGACAATGGGATAGTATATATATAAAACCCTGGAAGAAAAAAAATTCCAAGCAAGAATTTTATACTCAGCAAAATTGTCCCTCAAATATGATGATGAAATTAGGGCATTTCCAGATAAGCAGAAATTAAGGGAATTTGTTAAAACCAGAACAACCTTCAAGAGATGCTAAAGGGTGTCCTTTGTACAGAGAACCAACAACAGCAAACAACTGACCATTAACACACATGATGACACAACCCAGAAACCAATCCATTTATGGAAGTATCCAAAGTAAATAAGCCTACAAGATTATAAACAGGGAATCAGAGACATCAATTGACAAATTAAGACAAC